ATTACTGTGCTAGCTTAATATTAGGTTGATCTACAAAATGGAAGAGGGAGAAGAATGCAGTTCCACAACTGACAATACAAAAAATTGACTGTGCAGTAAATTAATTCTCTGTGGCCAGGTTTTTAAAGCACAGGTGCCCAAAATGGACCTTAGAACTTGATTCCTAGGATGAAAAATTGTTGAAAGCCTGGGGCTCTTAAACAGTGCCACTGACGAGAACATTCTCAAAAGCTAAATCTGTGCTTTGGGTTGTGTGCTGGAGGCTGCAATGGTCTGCAGAGTCACCATAACTCAGAATGTAAGAGTTGAATCACGGTCTCCTTGAGAGAGGTAGGTGGACTGATCTTAGTATTATGGTGTCTTAGTACCAGTTGTCATTGACGGAGGCTGGAGCTGTTGGAGTGCCTGGTCCACCTGCATCAGTGGAGAAAGCACTCGAACTCGCCAGTGTAATAATCCCGCACCAGGACCTGGTGGCAGACCATGCCAGGGAGAAAGCATTGAAAAACGGCCCTGTGAAGGAAAAAAATAGCTATGCTCCTCAAAAACAGGTAAGCAGCTTCTTTAAATGTGTTATTCAAGTTTATAGTAAATGATCAGAAAATACTTGTAGCATTTCAGAGACACAGTTGATGAAGTGCTGGGTAAGTCCACTTACATCTTTCATTTAAATCTGTTCTTTGATACAGCTGATCAGCCACCTTGTATCAAATTCAAGAACAGTTAGATTTGTATTTAAATGTCTTGATCAGTAATTTTATACTATAGAACTCAAGATTAGAATGGATTTCTGGATAAGAACAGACTAAAAATGCAATTCCTAAAAAAAGAGATTTCATGTCCAGTCAGACTTCCCGTCAAAAAGTTTATATTTCAGAGAGAGGGGAAAAGAGGTATTTTACAGAAAAAAAATATTAAGACAGTTTGGGAAACTGAATTCTCTTCCTTGATAAATAAAATACTTAAATCTAACAAAGCTAGTGTTCTAGCAGTTTCAGAACTTTTAGCTTAGATAAATTTCTTCACCTGCTGAAAACAAGAAGCTTTTGTGCTGTTGGATGTGACAGTAACAGTTTTCATGCCTGGGAGGAAGTGTTTGGGTTTTCTGCTTAACGTGTTGCCGTAAGTTCTGGAAGTCACAAGAAGAAAACAGATGGCAAGATAGGGAAAAGATGTTGAATGTTTTCCCGCCAAAAGTCCTTGATGAGAATTCTTGCCATATGACCTCTACTTGCATAAAAAATATATAACAGAAGATTTCTTGTATGCCTCCCATTTCTCAGCTTCAGTACAGTTCGGCTACATCTAATATTTTACTGCAGCCTGAAGCATGGCCAGCAAGGCTTAACAGCACTCATCTAGCCATACATAAGGGAATTAAAAAAAAGGAATTAATCACATTTCCAGGCTATCAGAGCTACTTATTCCATAAAGTGGAAAAGAGAAGACTGAGAAAAGAGCTGGAAAATCAGGAGCAATATAATGAAGACAGGTATAAAAAGTGGAATAAATTAAACAAAATAGCAAGTGGCAAAGAAGACTACTCCTTCGCACAATGGGCATACCAAAAGTAAATATGCATTTTAAAACTTCAAGAGAAAATAATGGAAGGTTTTTCAACACGTAGGCAATCATGCTCACTTAGGAAGTCTCTGAGGCATCAATTTTTGCAGGATCGGAAAGTATTCTGGAAAATATCATATTTCTCTGTGTTTCCCTACTCCTGGACCTTCCCTAGGTCAGTGCTATTTTCTTAAAGATAGGGTATGAAGTCAGTCTTTGTTTGATCCAGTTATTAAAAAAAATTAAAAATAATAATTAAAAAAAACCCTCATAAACACCTTAATTTTATTCCTGTACTGTATCACTAACATATTCATGTTCAGCCATGAGAGCAAACACCACGATAATTATTCATGACACATGCATATTCACATATGTTTCCTGTGGTATGGCATAGTAAAAACTCTGAAAAAGCAAACCTAACTTTGGCTTCTGATATTTACATGGCTTCAGCCATGTGGAGCACTCACTCTTCAAGCAGAAGTCTGATAGTTCAGTTTTCTGAAAATCACACAATCACTAATCATGCTTCACAGAATTACAGAACAACAGAGTGGGTTAGGTTGGAAGGGATCACAGTGGGTCTTCTGGTTCAACCTCACTGCTCAAGCAGGTCCATCCCAGAGTACATGGCACAGGATTGTCCAGATGGTTCTTCATTAGAACCATTTCACATTACAGTCATATTTGAAACACAGTGAAGTCATGCTCTTGGTGAGCCATAAGACTGCAACTTCTCTTTAATTTTAACAAGTATATATGTTGTGGCTACTACCTTCTATCACTGCTTCACTATTCTTTCTTCTTTTTTAGAAAAAAATAATGGATTTCAAACAAATTCCACCAATCACAGTTTCTGCTGTCCAGCTAGATACCCAAGAGCAGTGGAATGGCATGATAAAAGTACCTGCAGCTTCAATGATTGGTAATCAAAACAAAGTAATACACCAATAAATGTATTAACAGTCATAAGCTGATACACTGGCTGTGGTCAACCTTTTATTTGCCTGTGGCTCTCATTAGAGCATCTGTCCTCCATCGCTGGCATAATGGTGTCCCTTTATCAATGTTTTTTCATAATTCTTTGTGGTATGTTTTCAAACTGATTTTCAAGAATTCAAATCCAGCATGAGTATCAGAAAAATGTATATGACATCCACTGATGGATGGTATATTAGCAAAGAATCTGGGAGAGTCTTTATCTTTAGCAAAATGCCCTTGTGGATTTTACATTTTACATCTAATTCACACCATGAATCACCAGCCTGTTTATGAAGACATGCAGTTTTGCTAGAGTTATTACTCTTGCTTCTCCCAACATTTGCTGAATAGTCCAACTTTTATCTCGACTATGTCAACGAGTTAAAGATTATTATATGAAATCAGAGGCACATTACAAAGAGATAGAAGAATTGTTATACTACCACCTATATTTTTAGCAGAACTTCCAAAGGAAACAAGGCTGATCCAATTGTATTGTCATTGCATCTACCTGTGAAACTCCCTCAATTATTTCTGAACCTAGCAGACAATTACTGGAAAATTTGTTTGAGGTGGGGAGGAAGGATAGTTCTCAAACAGGTTTCATTTGAAAAGGCAGCTAATTTGAGGGAAAAAAGGAAATTAATGTCCCTGTTGAGCAAAAGATATACATATTAACATAGCTATACTACTAGACCTCAGAAAAGCTACATGGAAGCAAGGTTTAAGGAAACAGTCAATAACAGAGGTATATGAGGGCTGAGTGGTTTGGAAATACAGCAATAGTAAAAGCCATCAGATCAGTGAGATTGATCCCCTCCATTTTGGCAGTCCAGGCCTAGAAAAATCCAGTAGAACTTTGTTTATCTACCTCCCACCCACCACAAGTGGCTCTAAAGACTCTGAGTACCAAGATGAAACATTATGAAAGAACGAAGGAGATAGAACTGTTTCCCAGGTTCCTATGGTAGGAGAAAATTCAAAAAGTCAAAGTGTGCTGACACCCTATGCTAGAAAGGCAGAACAGAAAAGGCTTCCCCACCACCATTAACAGTTCCTTTCAGACCATGAGAGTGGCAACAGTTTTCCACCTACCTAATAGGCTTCCAGTGGTTCATGTTCCCAAGTGCAAACACAGGATTTTTTCAATGGATGCAGCATACATGCACCTAGCAACGCTTCAGTCCTCCTGGGACATTTCAGAAAGCCTCAGACCTAATACTTGGGCTCTTTAAGACATTGTGAACTTGCAATAAAGCTGCTTTTGGTGGAAGATCCAATGTTAATATCTCACAGTGAGAACAGCAGAAATCTTCATCAAGAGCAGAGCTATCAGGTATGACGAAATTCCTGCCAGATAGAGTGATTCCTAAGGAGCCGGACACAAAAACATTCCTGCTTAAAAAAATGCAGAGGATAGGTGCAGGGAAACCCACCACAGTCTAAGATTTAACACTCAGTGTGAATAGACATGGTACCAAGCATCTTTCCACACAATTAGCACAGTTACTGTTCTCTATCTGATAAACAGATTTTTTTTCTAATAGCAGAATTCTCCCTCTACTGTGATTAAGTCTCTTTCATAAATTGCTCATGTAGCATGTGGAAGCCTTACTGATCTACTTCCTCCTCTACTCTTTTTGAAAGATCATTCCTGAATACAAATGACTAAAAATGAATATAAATTCAGCTTTAAATTTACTCCTAACCTATTTATACCCATTTGATTTCAATCCTATATTTTTTGTATAAATAATCATTTTTCTCTGATACTTGCAAATCTTTTCACAACCATTCATCTCCACTTTCTTAAGGTACCCTGTTATGACCTGCCCCAGGAAAAGGGGAGAGGGGGTAACCCAGGTTTTTATCAATAATTCCCTTGGGGTGGATTAAAGTGAAACGACACTAAATAATCGGTGTCTGAAAACATATACTGGCAAGGTTTATTTTAACAATTCTGTATCAACAGGCATGCTAGCAGTTTGGGTGCTGTCATACAACAATGTGACACAGAGATAACCTTTGGGGGGGGAAGAAAATGCATAGGGGAGAGAAAGGCGGGATAAGAGCAACAGAGAGTAAGAGAAAGAAAAGCTGAGAGTGGACAGATGTATATAGTCACCGCCCACGGGGTCCAGCGATGCTTCCATGTCTGTCAGTAGAAGTGGTGGCCTTGATCTGCTGGGGGTGAAGGAGGGAAGCCCCCATACTCCAAGAAGTTATGAGTTATATCCATGGTTAGTGTCACGGGACATGCCTCGAGCCTCCAACATCTCTTGGGTCTGTGCTGAGTTTTTTGTGTCTCGCCTGGTTCCTGCCTTTCAAGATTAGCAGAGGGAGGGAGGGGCCTGGTTGCTCATCAGATGTATCAACAGTCAAAAGCCTGCAAGCTCAGCTCTTGCCTTTTCAGGGCTTCACACCTTCAGCTCTGGAGGGAGGGAGGGGCTTGACTGCTCATCAGAGGTATCATGCAAGTCAAAAGCCTGCAAAAGTCTCCTAGAATGCATAAATCATTAACCATTTCAGTCTCTGACATACCCAAGGTAAGCTCTTTCAATGTCCTTTCAGAAGCCAGGAACTCCTTCTAGTCATAATAAAAGACTTCACTTTTACTTGTGTCAGTTTAAATTCATGATCACTCAACACAGTTGACCAGAACAGCACATGAGACTCTAACTGAGCTCTCATCAGTGCTCTGCACAAATTCTTTCCCTGCTTCTCTCAAACATCATTGGCCTAATGTGCACTCAAATTATACACTCTTTTCACATGGGCATGTCCTGTTAGTGACTCATTATCTCCCTGGCACAAAGCAAAAAATCCTTTTTTTAGCCCTAAGTATATGACTTTATTATTAAACTTTGGTTAACTTCTATCACTTCTATACAAAAACTCTTCTTATCCTTCCTGTATAATGACTTGATTGTCCCCAGGAGGAGTAGAACCATTCAGATAACATTGCTATAGGCCCAGCTCTTGAACCACACTCATGATCCAGGTAATGGATCAGACAGGATTAGTCCCATGACCAATGCCTATCTACTTGCAGAACACTGCAAGTAACCCCAGTAAAACTCAGTAATTCCCTTCCCAGTGCTAAAATGATGTTTCTTTAGCAATCTCCTTATTTACCTTGCAGTCCTTCTGACAGGTCACATCCTCTCCCTGTTCCCATCACTTAAATTTCAACAAAGGACATTGTACGAAATATTCTGTTTAAGTCTAGATGGATCAAGTTAGTTGTATTACTTTTGTCTAAAATGTCAGCTAAACTTCACTCCTCTTCTTCCTTCCTTTACCTCTTTTCTTAAGCCCCCTGGTTTAGTTTTTGGGTTTTTTCTAGATCCAGCTCAATGTAGTTATGGCCATATGCCCTTTATTCCTTCAATTTTTGTGCATAGGAAGTCTGCAGCACTGCAGAATTTCAATATCCTGGCAGACCAGGACAACCCTATGTTTCTGGTAGTGTCAGTTATGGAGACATGAATAATTAAAAAATAATTAATAGAAATATAGTTCAGTTTATTAGAGGTATAAAATTACTTCAGATTTTAAACATCTATGAAAGTTTGAGCCAGAAGGAGATATGCACGAGGTTGATAAGGGATCTAAATACATGAAAATTCAGGAACCCTGAGTAGGAAAGACAAAACAAACATATATTTACCTTTTTAGTTGAGTTGAAGATTACTGAAAACATAGCTATATAATTTTGTCAGCAGCACAGACCTGATTTTCATAACAATCTTTGAAGTCATAAAAGGAACAAATAAAACCCACTCGTTATCATCTGTGCTTCACAGGAGTGCAGTGTAACCTCAAAAAAAGCCATTTGAAGGTCACTTAGGTCTCATAACCTTGAGGTAAGCATACTTGTTTAGACCAGTTGTATTCTTCTGCAGTCGTCCTGCAAAACAAGAATTTGCTATAGAATTTGCTAAGTTTTCCTATAAAATCTGGTTAGATTGCATATACTTTTGCAAAAAGGGACATTAACATCGAAGGGCAAAGAACGTCTTTGACTTTAGTCCAGGACATCCTCTTCAGCAGACTTGTGGAGACAGAAATATCATGACTATGGTAAGTACAGAGCTCTATTCATTTTCTTTTTATTACATGGATGCATAAGATTTAGCACTATAGCTGCTATGGATGTGACAGCAAAATTTTAAATTTATTTCTAATAGTTTTCAAATCAATTATTTGCATCTGACTTCCTGCTTTTGGGGGGATGCAGAATCCTTTTTTTTTTAGCTCCATCATGTAAACTGGTTTGTATGTGCCTCAAAATTCAAAATTAAGGAAGAGAAGATGGCTTCTTTTAAGGCCAACATGACAAATTATTTTGTGTATCTAAAGGAATTCCACAGTCAAGTATTAATGTTACATTGAGCAAGAAATGGGAATGGGCAGCACCTCCTAACTAGACTTTTCAGAAAGCAGTTGTGTTGTTTTATTTTGATTCAGCAGGACTTTGTCACTAAAAAGATAAAGGGATTTTTGTCTGTCTGAATCATTAGTATAGTTCAAGGAGGACTGTGGTGTGTTTAGCTACATTTGGAGGTAATATTTTTTAACTTGTATTTAAGGAGCCCAAATATATGTGGAACCTTTTGTTTGCAAAACCCTACTTTAGAATTTGTACAGCAAGCACACTCTCCTGGCATGATTCATGTATCTTGCTGCTTTCACAAAAGGTTTGTTTAGAGCCAGTGCGTATGTAAATATGTTGAACACAGAACTTTTGCTGTTGCCAAATGCAGCTTGAAAATAAACAACAATTTAAACAGTCCCACTATTTTTATTTGATTTTGATTAGTTGGACAAAATTACTTCCAGAAGTCTCTGCTTGCCTAAATTATGTTGGAAGGCTGTGATTTGTGTCGGCAGTGACTTCTCCACTGGAGGTCACTGTTGTGCAGAAAACCGGGAAGGGCACCACAGGAAAAACACACATGGTGTTTCTACCCAGAGCTGCGTGAAGAGGTTCGCTTCCCTCATAGTTATGAGGTGAGATCCACCAAACTGCAGGTGCGATTCATCTCACAGTGTGTGACGGAATGGGGGACACACGGCCCACTTATCTCTCGTTTCCCAGGTAGCACATTCCAAATACCGGATAAAAAGAGGAAAGGTGAGGTTAGCAGAAGAGCCTTGGAAAAAGACATGAGAGTAGGGCAGAAGAAAGAAATGTTCTTTTTGAAAGAAACTCTGTATACTAGTAAGACTTTGTGTACACTCTCTGCCTAAGCTGGCTTTACCGAAATGACTTCCAGCAGATGGAAAACTGATCATAGGTCTCTGCTGTGATTGACAGAGGCACAGACGAATGCATTCTTATTTAACCTGACTTGCACTTTCTTTTGTTTATGGGTTTATATCACAGGCTAATCAGTCACTTTAAAGAAGGTTTTTATTACCAACTTGCTACCACCTGCTAAGGATCAGGGATCAGAATTCACTGATAGTCAAAATAAAGTTTTTTAAAAGGCTAAAGGGTAGGGACGTAGAAAAGGATGTCAGGCATTATGCAAATACCAGGCAGAAAGCCTTAGGAATTTTTTTTTTTTTTGAACCATTCTTCTTAAAGCTGTTTGGATTAAACTGTGTTTTCATTTTTAAACTTTATTGTCTTTGATTAAAACTGCTTCTGAAGTTACTTTATGTTTTGAAATGCTTATGCTGGTGGAGCATCCTCTTTGTTGTTATTTAGGCCACATCACTGTCTTTATTACTGGTGTCTGGAATTATACAAAACTAAGAAATCTTATAAAGGGCTGCATTTATTTTTAATTAAACTTTAACATTCTAGATTGAATGTTTTTCTAGATACCTAACTCTATGTCTGACAATCCTTGAAAATGTGTTGCTCATACAAGAAAATCAATAATAGAGAATGTGAGACTGTCTACATGAGAGAACCTTCTGAGGTTTGGCCAGTTCTGTGACTGGTCAAAAGGTACAATACTCTAAACATGTCTGTTCCTCTTGCTTTTGCACTTCCTCTTCCTCCTGATATCAGCAGCTGGGGGGGATGCCGAGGGGGAACCAGCAGATAATCCCCTGCCCAACCACTTACATGAGGGTATATGGGGAGGAAACTGAAGCAACTTCCTTGAGAAAGTTTCCTTCCACTCTTACTGCCTAATATCTCCTTCCCTAGTTTAGACTCTCTCTCTTCGCCCTGGTGCCAGGGCGCTGCTGAGCCATGCCCATGCTCTCAGGCTTGCGCTGGCTCCAGCCAGCCCTGGGTCCCTCCACGACAGGGTGAGTCTCAGCGAGGGGGCACAGTCAGGGCCCAGTGAGCCGATGGTGGGGGAAGGCAGGGCACAGGCATGGTCATTCCTGAGGGGCACAGGGGAGGGGGGCTGAGGGACCACAACCTCACAAGGGCGGACTGTCCCCAGCTGCCAGAGATCCTTTCCCCACACAAACTGCTGGTGCTCAGCTCCCAGTAGCCCTTCCCTGCTCCTCCATCCTTCATCTCTACCCCAGTCTGTACTGATTTTCAACTATTTGATAGATCCATAGCATTAACTTGAGGAGCCAGGGAATCCTGCATGTCAGTTGTCCCCAAAGAGCATCTGGAAAGACCAGTTGTTCCCATAAGCATGATAGACACAAGGGAATGCAGTTAATTCACACATGACCACATCAAATTTCAGTCAGAAGTGCTAAAACTACCTTCAATTTTTTTACAATACAATGGAAATGCCGCAGCACATTTTTCAGGAAGTCTAGGCCTGCCTGCAGACACAAAGATAATGCAGCCTGACACTGCCAGAAACTTTGGTTCTCATCGCGTGCTGTAGCAATTGCAGGCAGAAGATCCTGACAGTGTTCAGGAACATCAAGTTTTTACTGAAAATCAGTTACTTTTCAAAGTGATGCTGTAAAAGGATCACTGCCATGGTGAGGAGGTACTTCTCCCCAGATTTCCTGACCCTGGGGAGTGGCACAGCGTTGTAAGGTAGGACTTCAGACTCTTTGACTTGCCTTCTGACGAGGTTTATGTACTCAAAATATTACTCCCAGAAGCAGCATGAAAGCAGGTACTCTGTAGCTTTTTCAGTACAAGTATGTATAGAGATTATCAATGGAGAAATATGTCATTTTTGCTGTTGTGTCCAGTCTTTCACCAGGAGGCAAAAGCCTTGTGAGAGAGAGGAGGAGGCAGGAAGCAAAATTGCACTGAAAAATGTTCCTAGCATTGACTTTCTCTTGTCAATATTCCGCGTATTTGCGTGCACTGTTATATTATAGAACAACATTATTCCACCTTACAAAGAAGATTTTCAAGTTTGCTTTAATGATATTAATGTACCCATCTAAAGGTGGTCTCCCACATACTTCCCTCTACCTCCTTCCCCATATATACCTGGTTTAAAGATTATCTGCTCCAGCCAATCATTTCTGCCTTTTTCTTCTCTCATGCTCACTCACCACTAATTCTGTTATGCCGCCTCACCTGATCTAGGATCATGTAATATACTTAAGGTCAGTGAAATGAAGAAGGTTAAGAGCAATATGAAAAGAAAAAGATTTTTTGTATATGTGTGTATCATGTCACTTCAGTTTACACCAACTCCAGCAGCAGTATTAACACAGCTGTGAAGGTAACAAGATTCCAACTATGATAGTCTTTGTGACCATTGAATTGGAAAGCCAGAGGTGTTCAGATGGAAATGCCTGACTTTTCAAACCCTTTCAGTGCATGGGACAACATCAGTAGATGAAAACAAGGCACCTCAAAAAGGTGGACTAGCACTTATAGCAGAGAAACTCAGTGATACTCACAGAATCATAGAGTCACAGGATCCTTAGGGTTGGAAGGAACCTCTGGAGATCATCTAGTGGAGCTCCCCACCAGGGCAGTGTCACTTAGAGCAGATGACACAGGAACTCCTCCAGGTGCCTTTTGAATGTCTTCAGGGAGGGAGACTCCACAACCTCCCTGGGCAGCTGTTCCAGTGCTCTGCTCAATGCTATGTTTCTTCCCATGTTGAGGTGGAACTTCTTGTGTTTTAGTTTATGATCACTGCTCCTTGTTCCATTGCTGGGCATCACTGAAAAGTCTGTCACCATCCTCTTGGCACCCGCCTTTGAGATATACATATTAATGAGATATCCTCTTAGTCTTGTCTTGGCTAAACAGGCCCAGCTCCCACAGTCTCTCCCCTTAAGAGAGATGTTCCGGACCCTCATCATCTTTGTGGCCTCCACAGGACCCACTCCAGTACCTCCTTGTCTTGGAGACCAGAACTGAACACAGTAATCTAGATGTGGCCTCACTAAGGCTGAGAAGAAGGGGAAGATCACCTTCCTCAGTCTGCTGGCCACACTTTTCCCTAGTGGCCAGTGTTCTGACTCTTTTTCTTTCCTTTTTTCTTTCTTTGGTTTTTGATAAATTTAATTCCAAAGCAGGCACTTTTCCCAAAGGTACATGGAAACAGTTGAATAAATGGTCTGATAAAAAAACATATTTGAAGTTGCAGTCATAAAATTTGCACCTTGTAACAATAACACTCCATTGCTGTGCTGGGATTTAGATGGTGGCTGTGTTCTACACAGAGAGTGTATGGCATGTTTATAGATGGCATGTTTATAGATGAGAAAACATTATTATTATTGATATTCTGGTCTTGCTTGAACATTATCTTGTGATTTTGTTGCTGCTGCTGTTGTTTTTGTGAAAAATAAAAAAGGCAGAATAACTTCACATTGCTTTCAGGTTTGAGGGTCCTGTTCCTGAAAGTATTAATTCCTTCATATTCTTTCTTCACCTAAAAATAACTAATTTCTCTATATCACTCACAAACATCCTTCAAAGAAATACGTGGAAAAAAACCAGAGAAGTTTCAGGAAGCTGCTGCACCTGCAAGTGTAAAATGAAGCATATGAGCATTGCAGATGGGCAACTTTCACAGTAATTTCGCAGTATAAACTGTTATTTTCATTGTGTTTTTTGCAATTTTTATTCTCAGCAGCATTCTGTCAGTCAGGGTTATACTTATTTGTGTGTACTGGATAAAAGAGAAGGCAGCAGGAACTGTCTAGCATTCAGAGCTGCAGAGATGAGCTAGTTCTTTGATCGTTGCATGATTTGTCTAGAGCTGATATTGTGAGCAAACACTTGCAGTGGTTTTTACCCATGCAAAATGACTGTATTGCTACAGTTAGCATCTTAAAAGAGTCAAACTGTCTTAAGACTGCCAGATATAATAGCAAGCCACAAAGTCTAATCTGCCCTAGTATTAATAATAAATGCTTTATCATCTGTGATGATTGTTTATTTTCACAAAAAAAATATTATTTTATAAATAAAATATAGTGTTTAGCAGAATGAATAGCATAAAGAACTGCATTTCTACCACTACGAAAAAAAAACCATCATGTTATGTAACCAAAAAATCAGTTATCTTTGGCACGTAGCAGTGTCTTTAACTCAAATAAGTACCATCCCGCACTCTAATAAATTTCTGAACATACTAAGATAGAAGTTTTAGTAAAATAAAGCTGGAAACATAATGCACTTCCAATGTTTTACTTTGACAACCCAAATCCTTTCAAAAATACTAAGAAGGTTGTGCAGAACAGCCTTTAATTAATTCAAAGACACACAGTTTTCTTCTGCAATCTTACCCCTGTGTAGAGCTCCAGCAACTTCACTGAGCTGTATTTTGTAGGGGGTTCCGCCTTTGTGGTTTGGGTTTACCTTCAGCACAAATACAAGTTTAGAATTTCTTGTGAAGCTTATTTTCTCAATGTCAGCTTTCCCATTCTATATCATCCTTCCAACTCTTTGACTTGTGTAACAAGCACCCTTCTGAAGAAGGACAGAAGAAATGTATGATCATAGTTTTTAAAAAAGATGTGTCTCCACACTGCAGAAATTTTAAAAAACTGGCGAGTGGAATCTCTCGAGATCCTACTGGCATAGATCATAGCAAATAAACACGTCAGCCAACACCTGATGAGTGGGAATGTATGCAGGATTCTTAGTAGTAGCA